ATTGGAACTTTTATAAATGAGCCTGGATACAGCCCAATGGTATCAGACAAGCGGTCCTGTTACTTCCTGGTTTGGTTAGCTCAGTGGAACTAAACTGAAAAGATGCAATTGTCTCACAAAGTTTTCTCACTTGGGGGCGGGGCAGGACTGCCGAGCAGGACGGTCGCATGTCAGAACAGCTCCGGAAACTCAAGATAAAATAAGCATGAAAATTAGACTTTTGGCATAAAAAGCCGACCGGCAGATGTGGCCCTCATCGGGTGGAGAGTACCAGACCCAGGGTGAGTCTGGCCTGATGGGTTTCAGTCCCCTGGAGGAAGAATTCTCACTGGCGCAAACTAGGCCTACTCCGGCGGTGAGTGGAGCAGACACCCATCGGTGCTCAGCCAAGGGCCAGACAAGTGAGGAAAAGGCCCCTCCCCCCCCTCTGGGGGGGTGATTCCGGTCCTCACTCTCGGGCCCCGACAACCCAGCAGCAAGTGCAGCAGCAGGGCCGCCATCCGACACCAAAACACAGCAATCAAGATGGCGGAGGCCATATGTGATGGCGCCGAGACTGGAACCACCACAGGCTACTCACCAAAATCGTCAACGAGGCTCAGAAGCAGCCCACACCGCTCCCCCTTCAAAGAACTAACCTCCAGATTAGCATAAAAACCTTGACCTAGGCATGGCGGGGCAGATGCCTGTAGCTACTCTTGGTTGGCCTGCTTTTTCCAGAGCATACGCAGTGATTAAGCAAACTAGCCACAGAGCTAACTCCCCAATGACTCGTCTTGCCTACTAGTGCCCCCATAGAGGTCTTAAACGTAGCAATCTAACAATGAACGACCTCAATCACTGGTGCAACCCCTATGTTATGTCATGATGTTTTGCGCTAGTTAATAGTGTAACTTGCACATCCTGATAAGCAGAACAGGGAAAAACACTTGGAAAGAGACATCACTGTATATAAACACGTGTAACATCACCTGATGCCTAACTACTATAAATCCATGTCAGAATAACTGCTTAACCAGGCTGTGTTGGCACTGTACACCTGTTTAGCAACACTCAAATATCTAGACCTAATCTAATGTTCTCATGTTATATCTATCACTATAACCCCCCCCAAAAAAAAGTGCAGCATCTCTTGACTTCCTATGCTCATACTTTTTTATTGTGATCGATTGTACTGTACAAGTCTTTGTTCCCGCCTGAAATTAACTCTGCACTCCAAAAATAATTATAAATTAAAAAAACAAAACGTAGGTTTGGGCACACCCAGTAACTCTTTTTATCCACACTTATATAGATAAGTATAAGGCTAGATTATATAGATTTTATTAGTTTTATTTATAAATATCAATACTTATTTAAAAAAAATAAATTTAGTTTAGATAGTATGCTGCTTATGTGCAAATATGGATATAATATTTACATATATCTTTTACAACACTTTTTATAGTTTTGTATTATAAAATGCACATGCAAGTTTAATTTAGCTTATTGTATTGTATATGGATGTGGATTTAGGTATTTATATGTGTTTAACTAAAATGTATATTTTTACGTTCAGTAATATTAGAAACCTTTTGTTTCATGTTTTAACATTAAACCCCTCCCATTTCTTTAATTTCTCTCTCCATTTCTACACGAACACTTGTTGAGGACTGGCTATATGCGTTCCATTCCCGATCCGAGGATGGAACGCATGACGTTAGGCGTCACCGCGCATGGAGCCTGGTGACGTTATTAAAGATCTATCCGGACATGGAAAATCTCCCCATCAGGAAAAAGGATAAGCACGCATGACATCATGTTTTGAGCGCGATTACGCCAGCAGAAAGTCGAACACTTGAAACAGAAGAACCCATCAAGACTAATTAAGGAGAGTTAAAAAAGGAGGAAGAAAGGGAGAGATTTGATTGCACTTTGTTTTACTGTTGGTTTGCACAGCTTCTTGTGCCTGAGGAAGTCCCTTGCTGGGACAAAACGCATAGGACTGGTGGGCTGGTATTTTAACTATCACACTTGCTGGTTTTAACTTATATGTAATCAATTAAAATTATCTTTGCACTTTATTGGTATTTGCACT